CAAACCAGGTTGCGAATTTAAGGTGAAATTCTTTCCTCTTTAAATATTGCTTGGCAGTTTTTAATTGGTACAACCACCGACTGGTAATAGGTTTTTGATATTGTTTCAATGGATATTGGAACAATGTCCAATACATGGTTTTAATTGTTTCAGATTTCATATTTATTGGATTGTCTTTATCACTGTCTTTATAACCATCATGAAGATGATAAGCCAAGTTTAAGAGATTGAAAGGATGGTCATGAAGTGATAATCCAGAAGGTGAATTAAGTTTTCCAAAAGCTTCATTTTCAAAATGGCTAACTGCAATATGCACCGAGTGTACACCACAAGGAATTCGAAAAGCTCTGGATTGAGATCTCAAATTAAAACCTACAACAGCACCTGATTTTATTCCAGACATATAGGCAGTATTATCTGTAAGCCAAAGATTGCACTTTTTAGTATCAAAATCATATTCATTGCATGTTTCAATTACAGCATTTGCAACTTCTATTGCAGTACACTGATCAATATCTTTCATTTTTGCCAATGTAAGTGTTGGTTCTTCCTTATCATTATTCCAATAAGCAAAACACACTAAAAATATCTTCTTATCCCCCCTAGTGCTTTCATCTACCATTACACCATAAGAAAAAAATTGTGATTTTGATTCAACATTTAATTTTTGGGATACAAACATATGGGCAACTTCTTTATTCCAACGTGATATTGTGCTAGTTGTGATGCTTTTTTCTGGTTCTTGACCTGTCAGGAAAGTATACATTGTTTTTATGCACTCTACAGTTGAAGAAATTGAAATACTCCCTGTATTACTAACACTAGTTGCAAACTTCATGAGTTCTGGAGAGTATTCTTTTTTATTACTTTTAAATTTTTTTTCCACTTCCTTTCTGAACTGATATTGTGAAAAAAAATTTTTTTTTTGTATAGTTGATCGAATCATTCCTATATGTCGGACTTTAGCTTTCTCACCTTGTGCCACCTTTGCTCTGAGAGATCTGACATTTGATTCTATATTCTCTTTATTTTTTTGTAATTTTTTATTTTCTTTTTCTAATTCTTTAATTTTATTTTGGATTTCTGGAACAGAAGTGCTTTGTTTATACAATCCTTCAATAACAAATTCTTTAACCTTATTTACAATATAGGGTGACAGGATTCTTCCTGCCCGATTTCCCTTTGGATAAGTCATAGTTTTAAAAAGATGACAGGCAGCAACTATATCATCATCAGATAGAGATTTAATATTATCAATTAATTCAATCCTCTTTATTTCTAGCCTTTTTTCATGTATTTTAATTTCTTGATCTTGATGGTCATTATTGTTTACTGCATTAACTATATTTGTGATTTCCAATATTTTTTTTGTATCAGATTTACAATTACGAGCCTTTCTTAAATGATTTATTTGTTTATTTTGCCGTGTCATTTTTAAGATATAAAATTAATAACAATGCAAATACAAAAGTTTTAGATTGTTAATTCCATAAAAATCCACATAATAATAATTAATATGAAATTTATATTATTCATAGTTCAAACTTGCCTCTAAATTTCATAGGATTAAATAAATAAATAAATAAATAATTTCCTGATGCAAAGTTTTCCTGTTTTATTACTCAAAAACCTATGCAACAATTCAACTTAAAATTAAAATTTAAATTAAACATCATTTCAATGAATTTATTCTAGTTTTAAACAGATTTTATATATAATGCGCGGATTTAATTATAATTCATTGCAACGTGAGTTTAATTCGTTGTAACGCGAGTTTAATTATAATTCATTGTAATGCGAGTTTAATTATAATTCGTTGTAACGCGAGTTTAATCATAATTCATTGTAATGCGAGTTTAATCATAATTCATTGAGACAAGATTCGTTGAAATGAAATTTGATTATACTGTATATATATAATTTTCAAAATTGATTAACATCATTGGAAAATTCGCAAAATTACAAAACTCAAAATAACTCTTGAACTATATGATATATTCAAATAAAATTTTATGTTTTAGATTCACTTTTTAATGCTCTTTAAACTAATAGAGAGCTTTTTACAATTTTACTTGCATAAAATTTTGTAACATATATTCACACTTTTTGATTTTCTAGCTTAAAATAAATGACACTGTTTATATTAAGATAAAAAAAAGGGCTCTATTATTTTATTGTCCTATTTCTCTAGTATGTTTTAAACTTAACTCGGAGTCAGTATCTCTATTCTTTAAAGAGTTATAATCATTCAAAGTTTACTATTGAAAAAAAGATCGGCAAAAAATTGTCATATATGAAAATTTATATATGTGATCGACTATGTTTGTAAAATTATATAATGTAAGACACCCCAATCAATTATCCTGTTAGAGAAAATGTTGTACGAAAAATTTTTGTTACACGTTATTCAATTCTCCGCATTTTATCCATTAAAACGATAAGTCAAAGCTTTATATTTTATATAATGTCATATGCTAAATTATTATCATCGTTATCATCAGAAAGAAAGGGATTTGTATTTAAAATTGACAATGGAATGCGTAATAATGCTAATGCATTGGCTAATTCTGATAAAAAAAATAGAAAAGACTATTTTTTTTCATTAGTCAAAAAAAACAAGGAGCTTACTGAAAATGAAAAAGAATATTGTAAACAAAGGTTCATTTATGAGCTTGAATTACATAATGCAAGTGATAAATCAGGAAAACCAAAAGAATGTAACGAATGTAAATTGATAAGATACTCTGATAGGTTCTGTGAAGGTTGTATTAGTTTACAATTACAGAGTCTTTTCACCACTTGGACATCTGGAAATAACATAGTTGACAACTTTATTCAACAATGTCAAAAGCTTTCATCTCTGCCAACATATATTTTAGAATGGATACCTTTTGAGCAATTTGAAGATATAACAAAGTTGACAGAAGGTGGATTCAGTTCAATTTATACAGCTACATGGACAAGAGGAAGAATAATTGATTATGATGTAAATAAAAAGGAATTTAGTTATTTAGGAGGAGGATATGTTGTAGTATTAAAAAGTTTAAATGATTCAACTAATCCAGGGAAAAGCTTTTTTAATGAGGTTGGTAGTTTTATTTGAAACAAAAATAAACAATATTGTATTATGATACTAATTGATTTTATATTTATTTCAGGCAGTGAATTATTGCAAAATTAAAGCAGCACTGATTGTTCCTTGCTTTGGCATAACCAAATTCCCAGATAATGGAAATTATGCAATAGTTTTAAATTATTTACCAGAAGGAAATTTAAGGGGTTACTTACAAAAAAATCATCATAATTTAACATTAAAAGATAGGATTACAATATTTAGATATTTATGTAATGCATTATATTGTATACATCAAGAAGATTTAATCCATTGTGATTTACATAGTGGTAATCTATTATTGCAAGGAGGTGGTTGTTATATTACAGATTTAGGACTATGTGGACCAGTTGATGAAAAGTCATCAAATAAAGTTTATGGAATTATGTCATATATTGCACCTGAGTTATTTAATGGTGAAAAGAACACAAAAGAATCTGATATCTATAGTATTGGGATGTTAAT